GTTAGCTATGAGGATTAAATGGCTTAATGCATGGAAAGCACTTAGTACATTGCATGCAGAAGTAAACACTCAGAAAAGATGAATGCTATTGTTATTCTAATTAAAACAGCCAACTTGTAGGTATTCATGAGGTCTCGACAAAATTGAATTTTACTTCACAATGTTATTACAAAAACTATTTGTGTATGACAGCCCTCTCAGGCTATTTACAATATAAAATGAATTAAACTGCGTGGCTAGGAGCTAGTAATTTAATCTTGAGGACAATATAATTGGATATCAAGATCAAACAAACACCTGAATGTAAATAAGCATTAGATTTTAAAAACTGAGTAAGCAGAGGAGTAAATGCATCATGCAGCTAAATCAACAAATTGGCAAATATTCATGTTGAATAAAACCTGGGGAAGTTTTCTTTCTCTGTTATTATCAAGAAGGCTGTATATAACACATGAGACTGCGGGCTCTACTTACAAACTAATCTTGATTCTTTCCCAGTGGAGACATTCAAATATAGAATGCAGTCTATGTTCTAAGAGTAGGAGGGACATATGTAACATACTCTATGTCCAGTAACCCAGAGGTAGCCACTAGCACCATAAGGACGCACAATAGGAACTTAAGATATAAAGGAACATAAAAAAACCTGGTCAGAGGCCATGTCTAAATGAATAAAGGTAGATGGTTTATTACATTTATCATTGTAAATAGCAAGAGAAATAGGAGAAAACTAAAAATAAAACCCAATGTCACTGGTTGCCTTTGTTTTTCTATTTTCTTTGTTGTCTATAAATACAACTATCAGAAGATTAATTACAGTTCTAAATTTAACATTAATAAGATTTCTGGAAAACTACAATATAATTATGCGACAGATAAATATTGTCATATAATTCTAGAATATGACCCCAAATGTTTATTTTTTTTCTTGGCATTAGGTACCATTTTATTGAGCTTAATTTAAATGCTACAACTTGATGCTTAGGGAAATCCATTGAATTATCAACTAATTCACCTTCTAATTTTAAGCTTGTCAATTTTGCTACATAATTAATTTTTATTCTGGAAACCCACATAACTCTTTCTGACACTTTCTCTTGTTTAAAATTGTATTCAAAAGGTAATTTCGGAATCATCTCTTGACGAGCTCTTATTCCAAAATTGTTTATCAGGCAAATTAAAATGGAAAGTTATTTTTGCTCATATTATGAAAACTGTCAGCACTTTTAAATCAATTCCCATAGCACGAAATAAACACCATTGCAGGCCGGGTATGGTGGCTCACACATGTAATCCCAGCACTTTGGGAGGCCGTGGTGGGCAGATCACCTGAAGCCAGGAGTTCTGAACCAGCCTGGCCAACATGGTGAAATCCCGTCTCTACTGAAAATACAAAAAATTAGCCTGGCGTGGTGGCAGGCGCCTGTAATTCTAGCTACTTGGGAGACTGAGGCACAAGAATTGCTTGAACCTGGGAGACAGAGGTTGCAATGAACCAAGATCATGCCACTGCACTCCAGCCTGGGGTATAGAGTGAGACTCTGTCTCAAAAAAAAAAAAATAAAATAAACAAAATAGATAAACAAACAAACACCATTCCAAAGGAATTAACCAATTAAGAAAATATTCAGTTTTTTAAATTTAATATTTAGCGCAAATTTTATGATAAGGGAATAGAGGAAATATTGGAAGTAAAGTAGAAATTAATTTGCCACATTACTAATACATCCTGTTGACTTTGAAGTAAACATTTTACATGTAATCATTGACCTTGTACAAATATTTCCAGGGAAAATAGCTAAAGACTGTGAGGTTCACTGATGCTAAAAACACATGTCAAGAATTTTAATTTCTGTCCTGATGGTGCCTAAGCACACCATTGCATCATAGGCCCTGTGATCCAATACTAATTTTAGGAAATATGGTCAGAGCATAACTTTCATATTGGCTGAAAAGAATAGAAACAATATGAGAGAAGGGGAGTTAAAAGACCCAGAAAACAAAGTCCAAGAGCTGGATGAAGATAGCAATAAAAATAGGGAAATGCATATATATATATGTGTGTGTGTGTGTGTGTGTGTGTGTATATATATGCATGCCAGTGTAAGATAATTTATTTAGGAAACTCCAAGAAATAAGAATGTAAAAATGAGAGACACTGAAAAAACTGCATAGCATGAAATTCAGAGGACAAAAAACAAGAGAGAGAAACCCACAGATGTGGCAGCATTGAAAAAAATTAGACAAACTGATGAGAAACAACCTGTTGATTATGCCCGGAAACCTGACTCCCTGGACCGACAGCATCAGTATCATCCGGGAACTTGTTAGAAATGTAGATTTTACATCCCCAGGCTCACCAGACTTACCAAGTCACCAACTCCGGAGGGTGGGACACAGCAATTTGCTTTAACAAGCCCTCCAAGTGATTCTGAGGTACTCCAAATTCAAGAACTACTGGTTTAGAATTTCTAAGACTTTAACCTCCATTCTTTACCAGGAGTTGTCTTAGTTGCCCTTTAAAACTGGCTAAATGTTGACATAAAAAAAAAAAAAAAAATAGAAAGACAACTACTTCTCAAATACCCAGTAGACAATCGCTCTTTTTCAGGTATTCAAATTTCTTCTGCCACTCAATTTGCTTAACAGCACTTGCCTTCAGTGAATGTCTGAAAATAAAAATTAAATTTAGTACTGTTAACCCAAACAGTTACTAAAAATTAAATTTAGTACTGGTACCCAAAGTAGAATAGAATAGAAAATATGCTGCATTTCAAGGTTTTCTGTTTTTTTGTTTGTTTGTTTGTTTGAGATGGGGTATCGCTTTGTTGCCCAGAGTAGAGTGCAGTGGCATGATCTTGGCTCACTGCAACCTCCACTTCCCAAGTTCAAGTGATTTTTCTGCCTCAGCCTCCGAAGTAGCTGGGACTACAGGCGTGTGCCACCACGCCCCACTTAATTTTTTTTTTTTTTTTTTTTTTTGTATTTTTAGTGGAGACAGGGGTTTCACCATGTTGGCCAGGATGGTCTCGAACTCCTGACCTCAAGTGATCCGCCCACCTCAGCCTCCCAAAGTACTGGTATTACAGGAATGAGCTACCAGGCCCGGTTCAAGGTGTTTTATAATATACCTAACCACATTATATGTATGATTACTCATATTCTTATGAAGTACTTGATATAAAAATATTAAGTATTTTAAAGTATTATTTTATCAGTTCCAATAAAATAGAACTACTTTAAAGTTAATTTAAGGAATATGAAAATATAGTAATAGCTCTAACTAAGAATAAAATATCAGGTCTCCATATTGTCCTTTCCTAAAATATAGGTAACTGCTAAAAAGTTATTAAAGAGAAGAGGATTGATAAAAAATAATATGCTATTTATCAAAGATATTAATCCTATTTTATTATAGTCCAAATGTTCTTAATTGACTTATAATTAATATCACAGACTAAAGCAAAACTTATAAGTCATGAATGGAGAGTCCTTTTTCAGAAGCAAGGTAACCCGGTCATTACCATGGTGACTTATACAGAAGAATTATTTCTATTTCAGGGTGAGTGCCATTAGGAGCTGTCCTTACTAGCAAGCTTCTTTGGTAACTGAGTTGTTTCGTCATAGTTGTCATTATTATAATGGGTAGTGTTGTACAATTATTGGACTCCAACTAATCTTATTTTATCTTTTTAAACCAAATTAACTACTTATATCCACAAAGACAAGTAAGCACTCTGACATTTTCCTAATTTCAAACAATGGTCATGGAATCCTAAGAATATACTAATTTTTTTTTTTTTTTTTTTTTTTTTTGCTATTTCTCTTTATATACCTTCATAGCTTGACACAAAATATGTTAAAAGTTCCTTTAGTCTCCACAAGCCTAATGATAATGTTCTGTATGTAACTTTCAATTACGTACAAAATTATTTATTATTTTGAATACTGTTTTAATATAATATTTTCTCATATTACATCATACAGTGCACAAATGGCATGTGCTTTTTGTTCCCGGACCAAACCGAGGGTCAGGCTGCTATTTTCACAGCCCAATAACGAGATGCAGATAAACTGGGGAGGAAGATAGTTTTTATTTCTGTAACCGGTTACAGGGAAAAGACCTGGAAATCACAACGTTTTCCAGAGCTTAAACACCTTCTAAGCTATATGTCTGCGTGTAAGTGTGCATTCATCTAAACACAAAGAAGATTAACTTCTTTTCATTTATAGCTGAGGCCTGAGTCCTGAAGGCCTTCTTCTGGAGCCTCAGTAAGTTTACTTAATCTAAATGGGTCTAAGGTGCTGGGGTGATGACTGTTTTCTTGTCTCCTGCTAAATCATAAAGGCTTGGGGAGCTCCTTTAGACTCCAGTAAACTCGTTTGTGGAGTTTCTTCAGACCCCCAATAAAACTTGTTAGTCCTAAACGGATCCTGTTAAGAAGTCCTTTGTTATTTTGTCATGCTTCAAGTCTAGGAAAAGCCTAGGCAAAACTCTTGGTGGGCTCTTTGTTATATTCCAGCCTTTGAATAAGGCACTGACTCTATCAGCTTTGATTATTTAACTTAACTACTCAGTCAGCAGTACTGAGACAGATGTTATGGAGGCCTGCGTTAGTGAGACCGGGCCTGCCACACTTTTAAACTTTTTCTGACATGGACAAAGAGAAAAACATAGCAAGAGTTAATACAGTTTTAAAAACCAATTCTATAATGGCAGAGATTTCACTGAGTAACAAACTAGTGTATCCATTAAAAATTATTGTATTTAACCTATATTTTAAGAATGTTTTGGAATTTACTGGGGTTTTTTTTTTAACTGTTCTCATTGAATTTCTTAAACTAAATAAAAAGGAAAACTAAAACCTTCCATCTGAACTTCATTTTTTTAATCTATGGAATATTCTGGGAAAACATAACATACACTTTTTAAAAATTATTCCGAAAGGAAAAGTTCTTGAAGCCTTCTCTGAACTGTTTTTTCTCTTCCCTTGTTACAGGTATCCATTTTTCCGCGATATTAATCTTTTAAAACAAAGAAAATGGATTTCTTAAATTCATCAGATCAAAACTTGACCTCAGAGGAACTGTTAAACAGAATGCCATCCAAAATTCTGGTGTCCCTCACTCTCTCTGGGCTGGCACTGATGACAACCACTATCAACTCCCTTGTGATTGCTGCAATTATTGTGACCCGGAAGCTGCACCATCCAGCCAATTATCTAATTTGCTCCCTTGCAGTCACAGATTTTCTGGTGGCTGTCCTGGTGATGCCCTTCAGCATTGTGTACATTGTGAGAGAGAGCTGGATTATGGGGCAAGTGGTCTGTGACATCTGGCTGAGTGTTGACATTACCTGCTGCACGTGCTCCATCTTGCATCTCTCAGCTATAGCTTTGGATCGGTATCGAGCAATCACAGATGCTGTTGAGTATGCCAGGAAAAGGACTCCGAAGCATGCTGGCATTATGATTACAGTAGTTTGGATTATATCTGTTTTCATCTCTATGCCTCCTCTATTCTGGAGGCACCAGGGAACTAGCAGAGATGATGAATGCATCATCAAGCACGACCACATTGTTTCCACCATTTACTCAACATTTGGAGCTTTCTACATCCCACTGGCATTGATTTTGATCCTTTACTACAAAATATATCGAGCAGCAAAGACATTATACCACAAGAGACAAGCAAGTAGGATTTCAAAGGAGGAGGTGAATGGCCAAGTCCTTTTGGAGAGTGGTGAGAAAAGCACTAAATCAGTTTCCACACCGTATGTACCAGAAAAGTCTTTAACTGACCCCTCAACAGACTTCGATAAAATTCATAGCACAGTGAGGAGTCTCAGGTCTGAATTCAAGCATGAGAAATCTTGGAGAAGGCAAAAGATCTCAGGTACAAGAGAACGGAAAGCAGCCACTACCCTGGGATTAATCTTGGGTGCATTTGTAATATGTTGGCTTCCTTTTTTTGTAAAAGAATTAGTTGTTAATGTTTGTGAAAAATGTAAAATTTCTGAAGAAATGTCCAATTTTTTGACATGGCTTGGATATCTCAATTCACTTATAAATCCACTGATTTACACAATCTTTAATGAAGACTTCAAGAAAGCATTCCAAAAACTTGTGCGATGTCGATGCTAGTTTTAAAAATGTTTATTATTGAAGGATGGGGGTTTTTGAGGGGAGGAGTAACTAGATGAATGTTGAATAATAAAACACTTAAGCTTTTAGAGGGAAGTACCTGAATACTGCTAAAATGACAAGGCTATAATTTATATTTTAATAGCAATGTGAATATAAAATTTATTGATCATTATTCTAGGGTACTCAAAATTAGAAAATAATTTATGTAGGTTATAAACAATATTTTGCCTATGCAATGTTCCTAAAAAGCTGACTGGAAAAAATGATACATATATATACAATATTAATGACAGTGATTTTCCATGTGTATGTCTCACAATAATTATAGAGGAGTTTTCAATTAACAACATACCTCCCTCCATAATTTCTATCTAGTCCTATTGTTTTATAATTATATTATTTTGTAGAAGAAAATATAATTCACCACAAAGCACACATTTCACCTATCTCCATTCTTGTCCCTTCTCCATCTCACGCTGAGCAAAAGGCAGGGGGAAAGAGGCAACTCTTACTTAGTGTGACTGGAGAAAATGTAAAAAAGTCAGAGCTTGAAATTGTCCTTGTGTTTAGGTAGTAAAGAGTAATCATAAAGTGGGTTAGGTACAGCAAAATAATTTGATACTGAACTTGTGCATATTTAATATGTTTGTTTAAATAAACTTCTAGAATAATATTACCATATCCATATATTATCAGCATTTGAAATCAAAGCCTTACCTTAGTAATAATAACTCAACAAAGGGGCATGGGTGACGTTGTTATAATTGCTCCTTGTTTACTTAGGAATCAAATTTAAGGCACTAAATATCATAGATTACTCACCACAGTTATTATACTCTTAACATCTTTTTTAAAGTATAAAATGTATTTCATTTCTGTTAATGTTAATAAGCTCAGTTACTAACTAAATTGTCTGTGGTACTTTGCACTTCAGTATTTCTGTACCTTTGATTTAAACATTATTTCCCCTTTATTAGACAGAAGGTAATGGAAATTTTTAGAACTTTCCCTTGACTTTAAAATATTTCTACTTTTCCAACTGATAGAAATGAACAGGCAAAAAGACTCATATTGCACTAATTAATACATGTACACACTTATATATGTTTTTATAATTAGTCACTCTACTACTTCAGTGAGCCAAAGCAATTCCATAAGTTTTTCTCCCATATTTACATAAGGATTTGAAAACCATGAGTTTGAGAGAATTTTATTTTATTTGAACCAGCAAGGTCATAGACTATCTTTGGGAAGACCTATCATCAACCAAGATCATTTGAAAAACAATATATACCTTTTTTTAAGTTGTACCTTTATGTGCATTGTAAATATTCCTTCCTGATGGTGTGCTTAAAGGCACATTATATCCATTTTATGTATGTGTATGTGTATGTGTCTATATATATATATTTATCTGTGACAAATTACTCTCAATCTAACAAACATTTACAGAGTTCCCATTTTATACAAGGCATTGAGACATATACTAGATAGAAGATATAGGAAATAATAAAATACAGTTTTTTTTCCTGAATATGTTTACAGTCTAAAAGGAGAAACAAGAAAAATTAAAACTATAATAGAAAAGAGCAAACTAAAATCTAGCGTGGAAGTTGTTTACACAGTTATGATGGTGCAGAGGAAAAACTGATTACATCTTGTTTAGAAAAATCAGAAATGTTTCACAAAGAATGTATCTGGAACACATGTCAAGTACACAGCACTGGGGCAAGAGAAGTGGAAGAGCACACTGCAGGTGATGGCAATATCAGGATACAAACTGCACCACGTAAGTATTTGGTGGGGCATGTTCACGAAATAGCAATGAGTTTGGCAGCTATTTAGAGCAATAGAGGAAAAGGAGACTAAAAGAAAAATTGGGCATTTTTGTGGCTGACTTTGAATGTCAGGAAAAAAAGTCTACAGTCAATTTTATTGCTAATGATGGGTAATCACTGATACTTTTTAGCAAAAATATTACAAGTTTAGAACGAATCTAAGCAAAAAAAGAAAAAAAAACGGTTCTATCTCAATTCCATCAGAGAGAAAGCAGAGTTATTATTGAGATAACGACTTCCTGTTAGAAAGCAAATCAATAATCCAGGCAAGAGGTGATGAAGTCCTGAACCTGATTCTAGCAATGGGAATAAAAAGAAAGAAACAGATGAACGATGGAAGGAAAGAAGTACAATCATCAGGTTATAACAAATTCTTTAATAAGCAAGCAGAGGGAGAGACATCAGTCACTGAGATGACGTCCTTAACCAAAATGAAGAACCCAACAGAAAGGGCCTATTGGTGAAACAATTACTTCTTTTTTGGGTATGTTAAGCACATAAAGACATGTCAGAGCTCATAGATACTAATGACCACGTCTGGCTCAAGCAACACTGACAGATAGATGAGGTTTCTCTCTGACCTCAAAACTGACAGGTAAATGAATGTCCCAGTCATCTCTTTTGTTCTTACTTCACTTGACCACCCAAGGGCCCTTATGCTATGTTGACAGGCCAAAGTCGGCCATAGTCCCTGTCATTCTCTGCTTACTTCTCTTTCCCTTCTCTTCTCACTTACCAAAATTTAATTCTGCGATTTCTTCATTCAATGACTTTGCTAAAGTTAAAATTATCTGTTAAGTTAACTTATTTATACCCATCTCAGAAATTTATGTATTTGTTTTGGGAAACTAAGAGACACAACCCATCAACAACCCAAGGAGAGTGAGGCTCACCCAAATACAGATACTGCCCTCTGGTCTCAGTTGGGCTGAGACCCAAATCAAGGAAAATAACACTGTAAGTGACAAAGTCATAGATCCCTTCAGAGCTCAGAGGAGAATCAAGTTTATCATTACCGTGTATGATCCAAAGGACCACAACAAATTCCAATTATTATCACTTCATCCATGTGTTTCCCCCACACACTGAGGGTACAGAACATGCCTTCCTTCATCAAAAAATATGAATATGAATATTTAGCTATTTTATTTTATTTTATTGAGTCAGGGTCTCACTGTTGCCCAGGCTGGAGTACAGTGGTGTGATCTTGGCTCACCGCAACCTCTGCCTCCTGGGCTAAAGCCATTCTCCCACCTCAGCCTCCCGAGTAACTGGGACTACAGGCATGCATCACTGCACCTGGCTAAGTTATCTATCTTTTGTAGAAACGGGGTTTTACCATGTTGTCCAGGTTGGTCTTAAACTCCTAAGCTCAAGTGATCCTCCCACCTCAGCCTCCAAAAGTGGTGGGATTATAGGTGTGAGCCACCACAACCGGCCCATTTTATTTTTCTAGAGACAAAGTCTCATTCTGTTGCCCAGGCTGGAGTACAGTTGTGCAATCACTGCTCACTGCAATCTTGAACCCCTGGGGCTCAAGTGATCCTCTCACTTCAGCCTCCCAAGTAGCTGGGACTACAGGCATGCACCACCACACCGGGATAATTTTTTTTATTTCTTACTTTTTGTAGACATGACATCTTCCTATGTTGCCCAGGCTGGTCTCAAACTCCTGGCCTCAAGTGATCCTCCCACCTTGGCCTCCCAAAGCATTTGGATTACAGGCTTGATCCACCACACCTGGCCTCTCTTTAATATCTTTAAAGTGGTAGGGTCAGGTAGGTTATGTAGAGATTAATCATCTATAATTTGTACTTTCTTTGAAACTTATGAAGGACAGATTACAATTAACATGATATATTTCTCTGAATACATAGGATTTCAACGAGATTTTTCTCTCATTGAAAAATCCTCCAGTTACTAATAGCTAAGCATTTTTACAGAAATATATATATATATATATACACACACATATATATTTGGCACCTATAACAAATGTAGCAATATAAGAATTTATGTATTTAACTGATAAGGTAGAAAAAGAAAATATAAATATCATAGAAATAGCTAAATACTAGATAAGGAAGAGTTACCTCCTGCTAGAATTTTAAGCATACTGGCACTAGAAAATTAAGTGAAAATTTTATTTTTGCTCCACTCCTCTAAAATTTATCAAGTGATGAAAGGCATGGAGAAGAGACCAAAGAAAACAGAAAGTCACACTACTAAAAACTAAATTCACTCCAATACTCTACCATTAGACATACCTATGTAAAAATTATGCTTGAAAATTCACTTCTGCTTGTGAAACATGGTCTTAACTGTAGAACTGGTTTAAGTATATGGATTGTCTAAGTTAACTGAATTTTTTTGGTTTTGGTTTTGTTCTATTTTACAATAAACACACAGGGTCAAATCTATAGCACAGTTTATCCAAGTCCTGGCATTCAGTGGGTCCATCCTTAAGTAGGGCTGATTTCCATTTTGAATCTCCAAAACCAGTTTCCTTTCCCTTTTGTAGTGATTTTGATTCCCCACCCACCCATCCTCAGCTTGCCCTAAGTGGTATGTCCCTTGTTTATATCAGTTATGTCAGTTCCAAATTTTAAAATTCCCTTAGCACAGAATCATCCCCACATTCACAGGCTCAAAGTTAAGCTTGTCCCTCTATACCCAAAGAGTCCTGTGTCAAAACTAAATGGAGAATTAATCGGAAGTCAATTACTAGGCAATGCATTGATTTGCTCCACCAAATAGCATGAAAGTGGAGATTATCATAAGGTTATTGCTGAAATGCATTCCTCTATGTCAAGGAAGAAACCATTTTCTGATGACTTTATACCAGACGATTTTTAACTTATAGGTCAAAGAATTAGGTTTACTGCTTTGCAGTACAAAGGCAGTAAGAAAAATATTTCCTTAACATATCCTGAGGTCCTTCAAAAGTAATCCTGCTCAATTCAAAACGTGTCCATATTAATTTGTTTCAGAAAATAAACTCTAATAACTAGATAACTAAAATGATTATATTCAGACCTTTATTTTGCCAGAAAATATTTCTAAAAACAAATATTTTTGTCATCAATAAAGTAAATATTTTCTTATGATATTGTGATAATTTTTCTTGCTCTTTTGAGTCAATATGCTTTCTCTCATTATTTGAAATGAGAGAAACTTATTGTTGAGAGAAATATTTTCCAGCATTATAATAAATACTGAGTTATTCATACAGAATATCTTCTCTGTATAAAATGTGGCATGCTTGAAGTCGATCTGGGAAGAATAGAATTTTTTCAAAGAATTTACACACTCTGGTTAGGCCAGAAACGATAAAATTTTTGTTTGAGTAAAAAGCATATTATTTTATCAACAGTAACAATGGCAAATCTTGTCAAAGCAATCTTTCATCAAAACTTGTTTTTAGTTTCAGTTCCAATTTTTACTGCAGAGTTTCTTCCTCTGCAAGGACACTAAAATTACCTTATTGATGTATGCAGACATAGAAAACCAAAGCAATGTGCATAAGAATCACCAAAGATGCTTGTTACAAAGGTAAATTCCAGATTTGAAATCAGAAAAGGCTGAAGTTGAATTATGGTTCTTCTGCTAATCATTAACTTGATGCTAAGCAGCTTTCATCTAACCTGCTTTCTTCAGATTAGAGATGAACAACCATAGAGATAAAGTGAAATAAAGCAAATGCTCTTGAAAAAATGCTAAAAGACTACAAAATAGGAATTTGCATTATTTATCACTATTCCCCCTACTAAGGAGTGAATCAGAGGGCATTTGACATGCAACCTGGTGTTCTGCGTTATGTGTTTCCTGCTTCTGAGTGTGGAGAAGAGCCGGTAAGTCGTCGATGGCCTTCTGCTCCTGGCTCTCCATGGTAGAATAGTAACTCCCAATAACCCCATACACAGCCACAAATACCACCCTGTGGGTACTCACAGTCTTTTCCTTTGCTCTATACTGCCATCCTTATTACTAAAAGACTGGCATGCTCAAAGCTTGTTTAGCTTTCTAGAAAAATGTAATGCAATTATTCTACCTTATTAAATTCATAACTGCAATTTTCCAGGAGCAATTTCTTCTATTGACGTATTCAGAGACGTTTTTTCATATGTTCTAGATTAGGGTTTTATTTCAATCCTTTAAATAATAAAGGCGAAATTTTCATTTGAAATGAAAATTCTAAGTTGATGAAAACAAGACTAGAGGTGTAATTTTAGGTTCTATTAAGTATTAGAAAATATACTACTAATTTATATGCAAATATTAATACTTAAGAAACTACTCAATATCAGTGTCTCTCTGTTGCTTATTTCACTGCATCCAGACTCTCTTGCTTGGCTTTTGGGGTCTTTATAAGCAAAGTACCACTCTCTGGAAAATCTTACTTCCCACTGTACTCCTTAGTTCCAACAAATGCTATCTTCTCCAGTCTGGTCCCTCTCTCCCCTGTCCTCACCATGTGCCTTCCTCATTCTTGTCTCCATTGCTCTTCAGGCTTTTTGTTTTCCTCTCCCACAAGAAGTGCCCTCCACCTCCTTGATGTTAAGTAACTTATCCTTCAAAGTACAGATTCAATTTCACTTCCTCCTTGAAACTGAATCCATACTGTGCTTGAAGTCAGTATCCCTCAATATTTTTTCCAATAATTCCTTATTTGTTTTAAATATCTCCAATTTCTTCATGAGTGTTTGGTTTTTATACCAACTATAAAGAGTACTGTAAGTTACTT